CCCCCCCTTCTGACTCTCTCTCTCTCTCTCTTTGCCAAATGTATTTTATTTTTATCAACTGCTATATTGTTGTCATAGCAGAGGGCACATTATGTCGATATAACAAAGAGACACATGTCAGCATAGTCATATTTATTCTGTTTTCACTGCCTCGACTTACAGAAAAACAATCAATTATGTGTAAAGATGAACGCATCTCAAGCATTCAGTCGATTTATGTGAGTATGGTAAAATTAAACTCAAGCATTCTGAAAAATCTTACTTAATAGTATGTGTAATAATTAAATCTTAGAATCCTATATGTTCGTTAAAAAGTGTCTTCGTCGGTAGATAATCGATCTAAAGGACTAAAAAGTATGTAATCAACTGATTAGAGTCCTCTTTCTCTCGAAGATCTTTTTTTCTGGAGTATGTATCCAAAGAGAATTAGAGATGGAGTTGATCATTATTTTTTGTTAAAGCGAGTGGAGATACTGAAAGCAAATCACCATTTACACGTTTTAAAATGGTTTGAATTTGTAAACAGTAATAAACTTAAAACAAAAAAAACAATTTTTTTATACTTAAAATCAGTTATTAAATAGTCTTAAAATGATCATTTAAAAAATTCGTTGAACGTTACGTATGACTTTGTTCAGCCATTTTGATGATTGAAAGGACTCCATTAAATATAGTATTATCTAATGAGAACCTAAGCGTGACATCGCGGGCAGTAGTGCATACAAATTAACTTGAGATAATCTTTTTTCTTTCTAGGCTGTTGTTCAACAAGCTCAACAACAACAACAACAAGCAGTTGATGTTCTCATTAAATATGTGAAACAACAAACTGTTATAAACGAAAAATTAAAGAATTTAATGTTAAGAATGGAACACCATATGGTGGAACAAAACTCGTTAATGAAACAGATGATAAATGACAATGCTGAATATCGTGCAATATCAAGCAAATAAAATCGGCCATCCAGTGAAAAATAATCAAAGAAAAAAACGGTGTAGAATAGGACTATAACAGGTCGGAAATAGTTCAGTTCAAAAGAACTGTTCAAACAGTTCAGTTCAGTTAAGAGGGATTGTTCGAAATCCCTCTTAACTGAACTGCGAACTGTTATAGTCCTAGTGTAGAACGCGTTCCAATTTCAGAGAAAACTTTCTTAAGAAAAACATTTTTTCATCTTTTCGGAATTCGTTCTCATTTGGAAATGTTGGATAACGAATTCCAACATCTAACGAAAATTTTCGCGACCAATTCTGTAGAAACTATTTTCTTCGGAATTGCCTAGCTACCTGGAATTAATCTTTTTTTTCTGTTTCGAATTTTAAATACATTTTACTATTCTATTTGACTTACGTGTTTTTTTAATTTCATTAGCTGGTTTTTACTTGCCGCTACTTCAGGCTGGGTTCGTACTGGTCTCTCTATGTTGTTATGCTATTAAACTATCTTGTCTGATAGTTAGTGTAGTAAAAATACTACTGGAGTTGAACAAAATATAAGAATTAAAACATGTAGTTTTCATTTTAAACGTTCATTTCCCTTCATACTTAGCAGAAACAAGATGAAAAAATTAGTTTTAATCTATTGTTTATAAAATTAAAATAAGTAATTATTATTTAAAAAATTATTTATCTAAATATTTAAAAAAAATTATACTTACATATTAAAATGAAAAACATCTGCTTGATGGATTAATATGTATCATGTGAAATATGATTGTATGTATATACTTAAAATTTAAATGTATATTCAAATAAAAAATTAGATCGCCTAGACTAATATTTATAGGACGAGTTTTCCCGAAATTATTCTCAACTATACAAGACACATCCTTGTGCTTTCCATAAAATGTGATTTTGAGACCCAAGACATAGTCTATTTAACTTAAAAAGGACATATTCGTGTTTAGCGTGAAATGCTGAATTAGAATATGTCATCAATAACTTTCTGGCCAAAAGCTGTGACCTGGTAGGACCTCTACAATAGAGTCTTCAGACGCCCTGAGTACCCCTTCTTCCAAACCTTTCACAGGTTTCGGTTTTCATGCTAGCATCGATTTTTTGCGTCAATCGACTCGCCAGGTCATTCTTCAGCAAACTATACGAGTAGATTTTTGAAATTTTTTTCCTTGGTTAAGAAAATCGAACTTTATCAGAAACCTATGCTAAAGCGAAAAACTCACTTTTCAGATTTTTTTTGATTTTTGAGATATGAAACCCAAAAGATTGTCAAATATAGGTAATCAGGCATGGAGAATATCAATGGACATCCTACTGCGAGCTTTATATGGTTCTCTAGGGGTTTTCGAAAGCATTTAGCAGGGTTTTTAGAGATCTTTACTGTGAAAAAATTATCACTATGCTTTTTACCAGAGAAATAAGAGTGTCGCAAAGATTCCATACTGATTTTCATTAATTTATCTTGTCTTTATTATCAAGGACACTTTAACAAGTGACATCACAAGATTGGAAAGGAGGCAGAGTCCTAGTAAGTAAATTTTTGAGGTTGTTGAATCAATTATCCAAACTACTGTTACTAATACGTGTGTGAGACTCGATTTCGCCCACGCAAGAGTAACTAAAAAACATTTTCATCACAGCCACATATGACTAGCCATCTTTATATGCTTGTGAACATTTCCAGAATCTTCGTATCAGTTTCAGATGAATATTTTTCTCTTAGAAGTTGTCATGCGATTCAGCTATCATCTTGAGCATTGTATTGTAGGTTTGATCTGTATTTCGTCGAATAAACATCTTTTGAGAGCACCACAGACCTTCAATACAATTCAATTCGCAATGAAACTTCGGACAAAACTTGATGGGTATGCCATATTTTTCCACAAGTTGCTCCAAACGTGTAACCTAAAGTGTTTGAAAGATATTATGGGTTCCATATTTTCCACAATACCTAATGCTTTACCTTTTTAAACGCTGGATGGTCCGCTAACAGGTTTTGCAACTCTGGAAGCTTAATTATTGGAGACATTTTAATTTCTAACCCCTTGGCTATCACAAGAAGACCCTTGCTCTTCCCTTGATCTGGACCGCTTTGAAAGTAGCAGTGAAGTATTTTAGAGTTTCCTTGAAAACCTTTATATTCAATTTTATCCAAAGGATATCTTGTACTGATCGACTTCCGAAGTCAAACATGCTATGTGACTTTGCCGTATGAGACTTCGCATTCTCCACAATACATTCAATCCTATGATCTTTAAACGCCCCTTTGAATTGTAGCAGTTGAAATAATCGTTCAAATTGCTCCAGTATTGTCATATTGTCGAAATAAGTGGCGATTCTGATGTGAATCGATGCTGTAGCATTGCGTTCGATGTAATTCAGCTCTGTATCAACTGGAATCATTCAAATTCATCGTTATTCAGCATTAGAGTCGAAAAAGGAACAGATAAGCTGATAACTCACCATCCAGATTTTCGGGTATTTAGCCAACGCTTGTTCATATTCTTTTTCAAGCAGACGGAAGAACGGTCCGGTAGGGTGTTCAACAAAGAAATCATACACCATGTTTGATCTTCCTTTACCGTTCGAATGAAATGGTGCGTCATCGCCAAAGAACCATCTCTTTACGCATACCTCCCCGCTCTTAAAAGTGCTTTCATCGTGGACTGAAATAAGTGAGATCGTGAAATGAAAATTTTATCGAAAGGAGAACATAGTTAGCTACTCACAAATTAAAATGCAGGGTGGTTTTTGTGATGGAAATCGCTATATGAGCTTCTGACCCTCTGTCACTGTGTAATAGGAGTCTTTTCGCTCGAAAAAATAGTCGATGAACTGCTGACGATGGGTTACGACATCATTTTTTCGTGATCTTCAAAGTAAAGTCTTTGGGAGTTGTTCTTGAATCGAGCGTCTCAGCGACGCAAGTCCAGGTAACAGGTACTTAACGAGCGAATTAACGAGCTACCAGGTTCTAGAAAACACGTTATATTCAAATGAAGTTTTTGAATGAAAAAGCTATGAAATAAGGCTCACCTTTGATTAGATTAGTTGTTTCATAAAACGTTTCATCAATCAATTTAGCGAGATCCATAACCGCAAAACTTGCAGATTTTTCTGAGCATCTTTCAAGAGTATATTGCTTGGCAGCATCCTCAATTTCCGAGAAAAAATCATACGATTCGGCTGAATATTTTCCGCCACGATTCTCGCAACCAAATTCATCTAGATCGTTTGAGATGAATACTTCAGTTCACTTGTGCGCAGTTTCAGCAGCTATTGCACCTGGAATACAAACAAGAATACTCTGAATAAAAGATTTCACCTTTATTGAAGATATCCACCGATTTCCTTTAAGAAAATATCGCAGTCTCTCCAATTGATCGCGAGCTTGAGAAAAGTCATGTACAGTAAAACACCTACGTTAGATATTTAAGTGGACATTTCGCCTGGCAAAGTTCAAACGAAACAGACAGATCAGTATTTGTAATTTCTTGTTTGAATTGTCTCGCCCGATCGAGACTACTGTCATTTGCTTTTGAATCAATACGTGCTTCGGATGAGCTACCGCAGTTGTCACTTTCAATGGTTCTCTTGCGTAGAAATACATAGCAGATCGCTTTTGAATGTTGTTAACGCTGAGACGTTTGAGGCATGATAGATATTATTTACTGGAACTAAAAGTGTTACGTCGAAATCTGCAAGAAACAGCGAAAATTACCGAAATTCGTGAACTGGAAAGCTTCCCCCGATACTCAGTTTCTTATGAATCTCAGGATTTCGTGAAAACCCCCTCAAAACCCCCTAGAGAACCATATAAAGCTCGCAGTAGGATGTCCATTGATATTCTCCATGCCTGATTACCTATATTTGACAATCTTTTGGGTTTCATATCTCGAAAATCAAGGAAAATCTGAAAAGTGAGTTTTTCGCTTTAGCATAGGTTTCTGATAAAGTTCGATTTTCTTAACCAAGGAAAAAAATTTCAAAAATCTACTCGTATAGTTTGCTGAAGAATGACCTGGCGAGTCGATTGACGCAAAAAATCGATGCTAGCATGAAAACCGAAACCTGTGAAAGGTTTGGAAGAAGGGGTACTCAGGGCGTCTGAAGACTCTATTGTAGAGGTCCTACCAGGTCACAGCTTTTGGCCAGAAAGTTATTGATGACATATTCTAATTCAGCATTTCACGCTAAACACGAATATGTCCTTTTTAAGTTAAATAGACTATGTCTTGGGTCTCAAAATCACATTTTATGGAAAGCACAAGGATGTGTCTTGTATAGTTGAGAATAATTTCGGGAAAACTCGTCCTATAAATATTAGTCTAGGCGATCTAATTTTTTATTTGAATATACATTTAAATTTTAAGTATATACATACAATCATATTTCACATGATACATATTAATCCATCAAGCAGATGTTTTTCATTTTAATATGTAAGTATAATTTTTTTTAAATATTTAGATAAATAATTTTTTAAATAATAATTACTTATTTTAATTTTATAAACAATAGATTAAAACTAATTTTTTCATCTTGTTTCTGCTAAGTATGAAGGGAAATGAACGTTTAAAATGAAAACTACATGTTTTAATTCTTATATTTTGTTCAACTCCAGTAGTATTTTTACTACACTAACTATCAGACAAGATAGTTTAATAGCATAACAACATAGAGAGACCAGTACGAACCCAGCCTGAAGTAGCGGCAAGTAAAAACCAGCTAATGAAATTAAAAAAACACGTAAGTCAAATAGAATAGTAAAATGTATTTAAAATTCGAAACAGAAAAAAAAGATTAATTCCAGGTAGCTAGGCAATTCCGAAGAAAATAGTTTCTACAGAATTGGTCGCGAAAATTTTCGTTAGATGTTGGAATTCGTTATCCAACATTTCCAAATGAGAACGAATTCCGAAAAGATGAAAAAATGTTTTTCTTAAGAAAGTTTTCTCTGAAATTGGAACGCGTTCTACACTAGGACTATAACAGTTCGCAGTTCAGTTAAGAGGGATTTCGAACAATCCCTCTTAACTGAACTGAACTGTTTGAACAGTTCTTTTGAACTGAACTATTTCCGACCTGTTATAGTCCTATTCTACACCGTTTTTTTCTTTGATTATTTTTCACTGGATGGCCGATTTTATTTGCTTGATATTGCACGATATTCAGCATTGTCATTTATCATCTGTTTCATTAACGAGTTTTGTTCCACCATATGGTGTTCCATTCTTAACATTAAATTCTTTAATTTTTCGTTTATAACAGTTTGTTGTTTCACATATTTAATGAGAACATCAACTGCTTGTTGTTGTTGTTGTTGAGCTTGTTGAACAACAGCCTAGAAAGAAAAAAGATTATCTCAAGTTAATTTGTATGCACTACTGCCCGCGATGTCACGCTTAGGTTCTCATTAGATAATACTATATTTAATGGAGTCCTTTCAATCATCAAAATGGCTGAACAAAGTCATACGTAACGTTCAACGAATTTTTTAAATGATCATTTTAAGACTATTTAATAACTGATTTTAAGTATAAAAAAATTGTTTTTTTTGTTTTAAGTTTATTACTGTTTACAAATTCAAACCATTTTAAAACGTGTAAATGGTGATTTGCTTTCAGTATCTCCACTCGCTTTAACAAAAAATAATGATCAACTCCATCTCTAATTCTCTTTGGATACATACTCCAGAAAAAAAGATCTTCGAGAGAAAGAGGACTCTAATCAGTTGATTACATACTTTTTAGTCCTTTAGATCGATTATCTACCGACGAAGACACTTTTTAACGAACATATAGGATTCTAAGATTTAATTATTACACATACTATTAAGTAAGATTTTTCAGAATGCTTGAGTTTAATTTTACCATACTCACATAAATCGACTGAATGCTTGAGATGCGTTCATCTTTACACATAATTGATTGTTTTTCTGTAAGTCGAGGCAGTGAAAACAGAATAAATATGACTATGCTGACATGTGTCTCTTTGTTATATCGACATAATGTGCCCTCTGCTATGACAACAATATAGCAGTTGATAAAAATAAAATACATTTGGCAAAGAGAGAGAGAGAGAGAGTCAGAAGGGGGGG